ATTTGACTTCGCCTCGAACTTCGTGCGTCGAGCTTGAGTTCTTCACATTGGTAGCGGAGCCCCCGGTCCAGGGGGCTCCAAGCACTTTGTGTTCTCACCAACGGGGTCCTGCATAAGACCATAGTCACCAACCCTTTGTCGAGCTCTACTTTCTTTCCGTGGTAGTGCCCTTCGACCTTGGACCACTTTCTGTTGAAGCCCGTGACGATGGCAGCAGCGCCATCCGCAAAGGATGGAGATCCTCTCAGTTTGTGCGACTCCTACGTCCCCCTGTTTTCCAATCAGCCCTCGGACTACCGAGAGCAGTACCGGAAGAGGTTGAACCTCTACCGCAAGAAGATGACGATCAGCAAACGTGCTGGAGAATCGGTACTGAACATCCTCGGCAGTTTCTCTGGAGTCACTTGGAAGCTTTTCGAGGACTTCCCAATCGAGGATGTGGATAAGGGAGACTCTTTTGGTAAGATTTTGGAGAAGTTGGACAAGAACTTTGATGACAGGGTCCTTCTCCCGAATGACTTTGAGGAGTACTTCAACCTCCTCCAAAGGCGACCACAGCAGAGCCTCTTGTCCTATGTCACTCAGTACGACACCTCGTACCGCAAGCTCATGTCCCACAACATCTCACTCCCTGGTCAGGTACAGGGCTGGCACTTACTCCGTCGAGCCGGACTTTCTCGAGAACAACGCCAAATGGTGACCCTGAAGGCACCGACCTTGGACAAACAGAGTGTCGTCGAAGCCCTCTACCTCCTCTATGGTCAAGACTATAAAGCGGGTGGCTGGAATCACGAAGTGACCGCAAGCTGTCTTGCTGGAAGGGTAGAGACTATGCCGCCTTCGATGAGGAGGAGAACGCCTGGGCACCTGACACTTCCTGGAATGAAGAAGCAGCCTACTATGAGGCAGATGATTGGGGTGTTGATGTACATATGCGCCTGAAGATGAGGACGCCTTTGACTATGACGCTGGATACTAAAGAAGAGCCAACTGATGACTATGGTGAACCTGCTGAGGAACCACAAGGGCTGGCTGAACCATATGATCATGCCTATGCCACCTACCTGGATGCAAGACAGCGGTTCCAACAGCTCAAATTGGCTCGTGGCTATCTTCCCATTGTGGCTCTCACTGACGGCCAGGCCACTTCACCTTCGGCGTCCACCTCCCCATCTCAGAAGGGCAAGGACAAGGGCCTCGCAAAAGGAAAAGGCAAACGAAAGGGCAAGAACAAGAATGTCATCCGCTACCCTGCAACTGGTGGCAAGTCTGCCGACCCTAAGGGACGAGCTCAGGCCACTACATGCCTTCGCTGCGGTCAGCCAGGACATTGGGCAGCGCAATGCCCTCACACAGCTCGCTCCAGCACATCGCCCAACAAGAGACCTGCTCCTGGACCTACTGAAGGCATGGCAGTGCAGGCCGAACAGGCCCTGGTGTTGTTTCAAGATGAACATGGAGAAGAACGACCTGACGCCGCTATGTTGGACCCAGGAGCCTCGGCCTTTCTCAGTGGCTACGGCCCGTTCAAGCGCTATGTGGACCGCCTCAGCTCGCTCGGCTATCCGGTCAGCGCCATCCGGTTTGCTCGCTGCGATCGCCAGTTCCACTTCGGTGGTGACGCTTCCTCTCAGGCTGGACAGTTGATCTTCCGGTCATGCTGGATGGATAGTTCGGCGCGATCCAGTGCCTGGCAATACTCCAATGTTGATGGGACGCCCTGTCATCGAGGCTCTCCACATGGGCATCGACTTCAGCATGAAGAGGGTTCGATTTGGTCAAGCACCTTGGCAACCAGTCCTGGTCGGGAAGCATGGTGAGTATTTGATGAGCCTCACGACTGGCATGGAGCAAGTGCCTGATCCGACCAAGAGCCTGTTCTCCTTGCATATCGCTGAGGAGGTTCCCGGCAGCCACCTCCATCTGAATGACTTCAACGAGCTAGAGCACATCTTCCTTGCCGACGACAAGACCCTGGTCGACGATGGTTTGACTATGAGCCGTCTCCACCGACATGCGCTACGCACCATGGAGGTACAACTGACCACCTCTGTGAAGGAGACCGAAGCCTACATCACAAGCGAGCTGCGTCAACCCGCAGAGACTCGCCGTGTCCTCTGCAAAGTCTATTGTGGAAAGGCTCGAACCGGCTTCATTGCCGAGGAACTGGGCATGAAGGTTGAGCGCTTCTCATTGGAGACCGGCTGGGACTTCAACCTGGAGAACCACCAGTCCACCAGAACCTGTTCCTACAACGCCTCGATGAAGAGGAACCTGATGAAGTACTTCTTGCTCCCGA